AAAAACAGTCTCTGGGAGATAATAAGTAAGAGTCATAATCGTTGACAGATATGAAACAATAAAATTAGTCAAAACAACAACCTTCTGTTTGGCGTATACTTTAATATAGGCTGTATGTATTTCGAAGGAAACAGGTGCATATCCCTCATCATCAGGCGACACGAAATTCTGCAAAGAAAAACGTTGCATTTATACCAAAAGCCAAAATATAAAATGGGGAAGGGGTAGCACCACCTATCGTCAGAAATGTAACGAAACATGAAAAATTAAGTTACTGTCATTTTAAGAGCGTTAGGAAAAAGTGGATTGGAATTAAATACATTAACTTGTAACGACATTAGGTATTTTTTGAAAGCAGGAAAGATGAAAAATTAGCAATGTCCTCGCCTGCACTCGAACCAAGGACCTCTCGAATACGCGTCGAGAGTGCTGAACCACTACATCACGAAGGCATGCTAGGAAAGCGGGAGAAATACCTTATATACCCCCATTTTAAAAGGCGACTGGATATTAGGGAACCCAATCGCCAAATCCTGGTAGAGGAGAATCATCATCCACCACCAATGAACCGCTCGGGCACCAATGAAGAGTCATTAGTTATTTTTTCGAAAAGCAGGAGACGTGAAAGGATAAGAGTTGTAAGGATTATGTTAGTTTTATTAACAGTTAAATTTTAAGTTAAAGTTCCTTTCCTGTCAAATTCTTAACTTCAACTTACTACTTCCGGCCAGAAATTGTAAGGTACCTCACTTTGGAATTCTAAGTTAATGTTGGTGTAGTAGTAGTAGTAGTAGGTTTCCTGGCGCAAAACCTTAATGATTATATGCGCCGAAATTCATGTCAAATATTCTTAAATACAAAGACATATAAAAACAAATGGACAAGATAAAAACATACTAGCATTAAAAAACAATGATGAAAATGATATGGAAAGATACAATGCTTAAAAAAAAACAAATACACACATCTCATATAATTATCACAAGTACAAAACACTAAGCCATCAATCATAGCACATATTAAAATGCATACTATTAAAACTCAACAAACAACAGACTCAAATTAAATTAAATAATAAATACCTGTTTCTTTCAAGTAAAGGAACAAATTTGAGTTGACCTCTTTCCCAATTATATGATCAAGAGGCAAGTCACCTTTCTTAAAATGTTTTAAACGAAGATTTTTAAGGTACGGACACTCTATTAAAAAATGGCTAACTGACATTACAGAATAACAGTTTGAGCACACCGGTTCACTCTCAGCTTTTAATAGATAACTGTGTGTAATATACGAGTGACCAATTCTCAAACGGGTCAATAAAACTTCCTCCTTCCGGTTCCTAGTGGGCTCCCAACATTCAATTTTTGGTTTGACCCTTCTCAGTTTATTTTCCGGCTGGACATCCCAGAGTTGCTGCCACTTTTTCAATAATCTGTCTTTGATGACTTTATGGATGTCACTAAAGGGGACGAGGCGATGTGTCAGATGAATTGCAGATTTAGCTGTAGCGTCTGCCAGCTCATTCCCTTTTATACCTACGTGTCCTGGAACCCAACAGTACAGGATGCAGTACCCACGGCTTTTTAATTTAAGATTAAGGATTAAAATGTCAACCACGATGACGTTCTGAGTATTGTAATATAAATTTAAGGATTTCAAAACACTAAGTGAGTCTGTATATATAATGAAATTTCTTTGATGTAGCTTTGAAATAAAAGAAAGCGCATAATAAACAGCATTTAATTCTGAGGTAAAAACGGAGCAGGCATCATGAAGTCTTCTACCCTCCATGTGGTCTTCAGTAACAAAGGAGGCACCAACATGTTCTACTGATTTTGACCCATCCGTGTATACAGGAATGTAACTAGAGTATTTGTGCCTGTGGTCAGAAAAAAGTTGTTTGTACACAAACTCATTAGTGTCTTTCTTGCCTAAATGTTGGAAAATATCTAGAAGAAACCGAATCTGAACGTCCTCCCAAGGTGGGATTTCAAAATACTTTGCTGGCTGAGTAGTGAGATCTCTCATGTGGTATTTCTCGAGTAGTGAGTTAACCCTAAGTGAGAAGTAAGGCACATGGGATGGTCTGGCCTGAAACAAGAACTTGTAACTGTCATCAATGTTAGAAACATTGTTTGGGTGATCAGGAAGTGACAACACATTGAAATGATAGCAGAGTGACAATTGCTCACGCCTTAAATGCAGCGACGGTTCGTGGCAGTCAACATAAAGACTTTGGACAGGAGATGTTCTAAATGCACCAGAAGAAATACGCAGGGCCTGATGATGAACAGGATCTAATTTTACTAAAATGGAAGGCCTTGCAGACCCATAGACAACTGAGCCGTAATCTAGTTTGGAGCGTATAAGTGCTCTATAAATCCGGAGTAACGAAGTACGGTCTGCACCCCAGGAAGTGTTCGCTAGGACTTTCAAAAGGTTCAGTCTCCTAAAACATTTCTTCCTTAGATACAGGATGTGTGGAAGGAAAGTTAATTTCCGGTCGAACATCACTCCTAAAAATTTTACTTCAGGTTCCACTGGAATTTGTGATCCTTCAAGAAACAGCTCAGGCTCAGGGTGGAGGTTGCGCTTCCTGCAAAAGTGTATGCATACTGTCTTCTGTTTAGAAAAACTAAAACCTTCTTTCTTTGACCATTCCTGGATCTTATTAAGAGCGATTTGCAATTGCCTCTCTATATATCTCATGTCTGCACCTTGACAGCAAATGTGAAGATCGTCAACATATAAGGAACCTACAACCGTAGGAGGAAGTTCTTTTAGAACAGAGTTGATTTTTAAGATGAACAAAGTAACGCTTAGTACACAGCCTTGAGGCACACCCTCTTGTTGAGAGAATACATCTGATACAGCAGAACCAATCCTAACTTGAAACGTTCTACCCTTCAAAAAGTTTTGCAGAAATATTGGCAGGTTGCCGCGTAATCCAGCGGTGTGAAGATCAAGCAAAATCCCATGCCTCCATGCTTTGTCGTACGCCTTTTCTATGTCAAAAAACACAGAGACTAGGTGGTTTCTATTGACAAAGGCTTTACGAATTGAGGTTTCCAAAAGGAGCATATTATCAACAGTCGTTCTGCCTTTACGAAAACCACTTTGATATTTGGATATTATATTGTTCTTTTCTAAATAATAGACCAAGCGGCAGTTTACCATTTTTTCGAAAAGCTTGCAAACGCAACTGGTAAGGGCGATGGGCCTGTAGTTGGTGGGATTCTTTGGATCTTTCCCTGGCTTAGGTATCGGAATGACTACTGCTATCTTCCATGCATTGGGAAAGTTATGCTCCTTCCACACCCGATTATACAAAGTGAGAAGGGCATTCAGTGACTTACAGGAAAGATGCTTCAGCATTTCGTAACTAATGCCATCTGGACCAGGGCAAGACTTATGTGTCTGTAATAAAGCTCTTCTTAATTCAAAATGGGAAAATTCGCAATTGTAAGGCTCAGATTGGCAGAGTTGAACTTAATAGGAATATTTTCAGCTTGTAGCTTAGCAGACAGAAATGTTGGGGGATAACTGCAGCCATTAGAGATAGCTGCAAAGTTTTTCACCAAGGGTGTTTGCAATTTCTTCCGCTGTGCTGATCGTTCGGCCGTCTTTTTCCAGGATGGAAAGTGAGTGGTCTCGGTATATTCCACAAGCTTTTCTAACTCGCTTACTGGATGTTGAGGTTGTTATCCCAGACGCATAAGATATCCAGGAATTCCGCTTACTCTCCCGTCGTACTTTCCGTGCTTTTGCTTTAGCTTTTTTGAAAGCAATAAGATTTTGAAGTGTGGGATATCTTCGAAAGTGTCCCCAGGCTTTTCTCTGCTGTCTTAGAGTTTTCTGGCATTCTTGATTCCACCAAGGTTTCGAGTATTTTGGAGGTTTTGCTGAGGTCAGAAGTATAGAGGCTGTAACCGCTTGGATTATAATGTCAGTTAATGGCTTTCACTGCATCGTCGACCGGCACATCGTTCACTACTACTTCATCCGTGAGCTCTGCAAGAGAGGAGAAAAGCTCCCAGTCTGCCCTTTCAAATATAAAGTTTTTGGGGCCTTACGACGGGACTCATTCCTGCCCTAGCAAAAGTAACAAATATCGGGAAGTGGTCACTGTTGTGAGGATCATCTCCAACACTAAAAGTACAGAAGGGCAAAAGAGAAGGTGAACAGATGGCAAGATCAAGAGCGTGAAATGTCCTTGTTGGCGCATGGAAGTAGGTATCCCGACCATTATTGAGAAGACAAAGGCAATGATCTTCTATCATCTGCTCAATTTGTCTACCTCGAGGATTTGTATCTCTACTTCCCCATAACTGACTATGTCCGTTAAAATTCCCCATGATAATAAACGGCTCTGGCAGCTGTTCTATCAACTCATTTAGCTGTCTCTGATCGATAGCTTCATTAGGAGGTAGATATATGGAAATGACAGAGACTAATCCTTTAATATTAGCTTGTATAGCTACCGCTTGAAGGGATGTTGTTAACGGAAGGACAGTTGACGGATAGTCATGAGAGGTGAGAAGGCCTACACCCCCACAGACGCGTTCACTAACAACATTGTCCTTTCTCGTAAATGAAAATCTCCTAAGTTTGGCTTTGCTATTAGCTTTGAGATGTGTCTCCTGTAAAGCGAAGCAAACTGGCCGATGTTCATCAATCATGTTCTTAACATTATAGAGACTCTGATAGAAACCACGACAGTTCCAGGAGATAAGGGTAGCCATTATGAGATTTTATTTCCCCGATGCTGCTTCTTTGTCAGACGAGGAAGCAGATTTCTCGGAAATTCAAGTCCGGCTTCAACTTCCATATCATCAAAGTTAGAGCTCAAACTGTCGAGTGAACTGTCAGTTCGACTCCTATGCTTAAGAATAGGAGTTTCGGATTGTTTCAGGAGATTTTGTTTACTTGATGATGCGGAATTGTTTTCTAAAGGCTTATCCTTGGTGTTTATTGTTTCTGTTACTTTGTTTTGAGAGGCGCTAGTTTGTTAGTTTATTTCCTGCATTATACTCTATTACTGTTATTTTAGAGGTATTTTCCCGTTGGTTATTTATCTTTTGACATAGATTGCTTAGATTAGTTTGGATTCCTACTGTTTTGAATTTCTTTGCAGCCTCAGCATATGAAACATTTAAACGTGGATGTGTACTAGCTATTATTTTTCTAGCTTCTGCATATGTTAAGTTTTTAGTCACTTTCAAGGACTGTACTTCCTTCTCAGCTTTCCATTTAGGACATGAGCGAGAGAATGCTGTGTGCTCCCCCTTACAATTGACACACAGTGGCACAGCTTTACAACTATCACTGTCATGGCCCTCCACGGAGCAGCGAGCACACGTGGGTTTGCCTCGACAAGACATTTTTGAGTGGCCAAAGCGCTGACACTGGAAACATCGCATGGGGTTTGGGATGTAGGGTCTTACTGGGCAATGAAGATACCCGGCCCTTACACTTTTTGGCAACTCAGGTGTGTTGAAGGTTAGGATAACGTTTTTAGTATCTATCAACTTACCCTCTCTGCGCACCTTGATTCGCCTTGCAGCACAGACATTTTGATGGGAGAGTTCACTCACGAATTCTTCTTCTGAAACGCAGAGAAGATCGAATTCTGATATTACTCCACGGCTATAATTTAAAGATTTGTGAGGTGATACTGTTACACTTACATTTCCTAATTTGTTTAAACTGAGAAGGGTTGCAGATTGGCTGGAAGATAAAGTTTCGACTAGAAGATCACCTGAGCGAAGTCTTTTGATATTTTTAGGTTCTCCGGCACATGACTTGATAAGTTTTTGTATTAAAAAAGGTGACATTTTTTTAATTTCATCTGTTGTGTTATTTATAACAAGAAATCGAGGTATCAATTTTCTTTCATCCTCATTAGCATTTGCACATGTTTTCATTTTTTTTGTAGAATTTGCATTTTGTTCTGGTACACAGGGTTCACTTAAGGAGTTCATAGTGAGATAAAATAAGATTCGGACCCGGCAGCCCCACCCACCACGGAGCCCAACAAGGGGACGCAGAGATCTGCGCCAGGGTTAACCGGGTCTATACGCAATCTGAAGCCCCCACAGTCAGCTCTCCCGAAAGCAGGAACTCCCGAAAGCTTATCCCCAAGCCACTGACCCTAAGGACGAGTGACCAGCCGATTGACACTAGTGGGGACAACTAAGTGCCTCCCGTTTCAATCTGAAGCAGAGGCCAAAGCAGTGTGTTGGGAACAGTACCTCGCCCCTCAACTACCAGGACCCTCCTTTCCAGCCTTACGGGTCACAACGCACGGCAAACGCGTAGGTGGAAAAACCACAAGGGAGAAGGAAAAGGAAAAAGGTAGCAGAGAAGAGGAGAGGAAACAGAAAAGAGGATAGATCACTGGGGCTCCAGGATCGTGACACCCGTCTCACCAAGAAGATGATCCCTTGAAGGGCTAGGGTACCTCGGGATTGCCACACCCGTACTCACAAAGAGTGAGCCCCTGAGGGGAAGTTAATGTTGGAAGTGAGGAACCTAAGAACTGATAAGCGAATAATCGCTAGAGTTCGATGACAGGAAACAAGAGAGAAGAGTAACTAACCATTTATTATTTCGATAAGATTTAACAAAAACTCCACCTGGGAGTGTACAAGTAAAGCCCGCACTTTGGACTTGAACTTAAAAGACTAAGAATTAAACTAAAACTGAGATTAACTAAATAAATATAGCCAAAGCTATCAAGGTTCAATTAGAGTTGGCCCCTTAACTTATTTTACTACGAAGCTTAGCAAGGGCCTGAGTAGGGCCGAGCGTAAAAAAACATCTTTGAGAGAGAGAGCGGCCAAAAAGGCAGACGCGCGTAGTTCAGAAACTCTGATTTTGTCTCAGTAAGTAACTTTGTGGTTTAAATACCGCTCCTTCTCATCAAATATTCAGCAAATTCCAAAAGTACATTCTGGCCGGAAGTAGTAAGTTGAAGTTAAGAATTTGACAGGAAAGGAACTTTAACTTAAAATTTAACTGTTAATAAAATTAACATAATTCTTACAGAGTCAATCAACGATTGAAGATATTCCTTTGTGTTTCTGGCAGGATCATGTTTTATGGAAAAATTTCTTATTAATTTGCGCATTGATATCTTCTGGCAAGAATTATACATTCTCCTGGCTGGCCATTGTCTCAGCAGATAAGACAACTGAAACTAATCTTTCAACTCGGGTTCATATCCTGATGAACATGCTGATTGTATGGTATTTTCATGCTTCCCTCTATGTAATGTGAACACGAGCGAGTTTCTCTAAGGAATTTATCTAAAAAGAGATTCCTTCTTTTAGGCAAATTGCCCTAGTATCCTATGCCGCAATCTAATGAAACCAGAAAATCTTCGTATTCTCCCCCACTTAAAAGCTGATAATCAATAATGACATTGATAATCAATAATAGTTATAACAACCCAATATTAATGATTACAAATCTCTAATTACAACACTGACATTAATAGTTCATTAAAATTTTATGTATAAATCAACGGTTGAAGATATTAAAATCCATCATTCGTGATGTTCTTAGTCCAGTGAGTTTAGACCGAGTTGTTTCAGATATTCTGATACATTTCGGTTGTAATTCTCGTTGTCAATACCGCCAGAAATAGTTTATTAAATATTTCAGCCCACGTTCTGTTACGGTGAAATGAATTCTTTAACGAAATGAAACAGAACTGACTTGATTTATCATCTCGCTATACGTTTGAAATGAGTCTTTATTAACAGTTGCAGTCACTTGGATATCTATTGGTTTTAGTATGTATTCGATGTATTCTATGTACATTAGACACGTATCTCTGCACTGAAAAATTCTGTAAATTTCGCTTTGAAATATATGTATTTTATCCGATTTTTCAATTAAGCAATTGCGAAGGCACTGCAGGATGCAGCGTACAATTAAAGCCTATCCTTGAAATGTCTTTTCTGATCTTATATTTCATGCTTTATAAATATTTTATCTTCGCAACGACGATTTTCAATTTGTTGCGCCTTTGGCATTAGAACAGCTTTCAATTTCTTCCTTACCCCCCTGTCAAAGATCTCCTCCCCCTTCCAGGTTTCCAAATTAGAAAATGGCGGAAGATGGCAAAACAGATTGGAGGAACGACAGAGATAGCGACGTAAATGTAAACACCGGGTCGAGAAATATTTGAGCAGGGGGTCTCTGTTTATGACTTCTGTTAATGTTCATTAATTGCAGAATTTCTGGAGTTAATTAAAACTCCTACCCGGACGAGGGTGGTCGGGAGGGTGGTCTCAGTTAAGAAATCTATGAGTGTCGCGTCTCATTAACCAGGAAAAGGAGACGAAGACTCCAAAGATTTATTTATTTTTTATTTCCTTTCTCCCTTCATAAATTTTCCTTTCCAGGAGAGATGTTATTGAACTTGTGATGGGAATAAGAAAGTTTCAGAGAAAAGTGTGTGATTTGTTGTCCAAGCTGCAGTCTCAAATGCGTTTAGTTTCTGTCATTATGATGGAATTTTTATCAGTGGTGAAATGTTATATTTGCTTTATTCAGTAAAAGTTTGGGCTCGCAGTTATTTATTTAGACTTTCTGAACAGTGATAAGATGTGCAAAATCTATTTGACGTGGATGTATTTTGTTTTGCCGTGGAATAATTACGCAAGAAATTTTCACTATCTTGCTGCAATACAAAAGTATCTCTTCGATTCATAAATTGTAAAGTTGTTAGAGTTAACTGTTGTTGAGATGCAGTGTATTCGTTTCGTTTAGTTATCAGATTCATAGAGAAGTTGTATTAATCACGTTAAAAAGCAAATGCAATCTTGATGTCTGTCAGTCCGCTTGTCTTTTCTCTCTCTCTTTTTTTATTTCCTTGCACGACGTAAAAAGGATACTTTATTTCAAAACCGATTGTAAAATGGATTTAAAATGGATTCAGAAAAGACTTTTTTAATACGTCTGTACGTACGCACTTATGTATGTATCTAACAAATTCAAAAACTAGTAGCCGTAGAACGTTAAAATTTTATATAGAACGTAAATTTGTTAGTTGGGCAACGCCCTTTTTCTCGCAATTGGCAGCACCAAAAGTCGCCACTCTATTACCTGGCTGGATAAGTGCAGTTTCTTTATTTTTATATGTTGGTAAAGTGTGCATTTGTTTGTTTAAAAGCTATTGAATTATGTTGTTCTTACGTTCTCATTAAGGTTTTTATACCTTTAGTTAACCTGCATGCAGTAGTGTAGAATTATCAACAATTTAAAGTTTAAGAGACGCTAATTCTAACGAAGCCGCCATTTGTTTACATTTGAAACTCTTAGTGGAACAGCGCATTCGTGTGTGCACCAACTTAAATGTCTTTTTGCCCAGTGCAACCAAAAGTTACCTTTCTGTTTTGTTTCTTCCTGCTCTCTGGCCGAATTGCTAGTTTTTGTCTAGAAACTCCAATTTTAATTGTAAAAAAGAAAAAAAAATTAACCGCTTTTATCTGTATTTGATGATTTAGGTGTTTCTATATTTTGTAATTTTTAATGGAGGTGTTTTGAGTTTTTATGTATTTTTGCCTATCTCTAATGAAATTCGAGGAAATATGCTTAAATGAAGTGCAGCAAAAAAAATGTGTGTAATTTCATAGGCCGTACAAGAAAGTCATGTGGTGTCCCCATCAGATATTTTCTTTTCATTGTTACCTTAAATAATGTGCTCAGCTTTTACAACAAAATGAAGTAATGATTTTCTTTCCATTTTTCAACATAAAGTGTCCATAGAATTTATATAAATATACAAATCTCAGTTAGCCGGGCTAATACCACAGATGGCATCCACAGTTAACTCAAGATCGTGGTTTATTCGAATTAAAGAAACAATAAACAGGAATTGTAATTAATAAAAAATGCTATTAACAATTTACCAACATTTCCAACATGTTTAACTAGGAGAATAAGCCTTTATAAGGTATTTCTTCGGCCTTCTTAGCGTGCCTTCGTGGTGTAGTGGTCTACATGCTGGGAGCGTATTCCAGAGGTGCGTGGTTTGATTTCGGCAAAGGCGTTGTTCATTTTTCATCTTTCCTGCTTCCAAAATACCTAATGTCTCTACAGTGGCGCCCGAACTAAACGGATGGTGGATGATGATTCTCCCCATCCAGGATTTGGTGATTGGGTCCCCTAAAAACCCCAGTCGCGCTTTAAAAGGGGAAGTATATAAGGTATTTATCCAGCCTTCTTGCCATGCCTTCGTGGTGTGGTGGTCTGCACGCTGGGCGTGTATTCCAAAAGTCCGTGGTTCGATTCCTGGCGAAGGCGTTGCTCATTTTTCATCTCTCCGGCCTCGAACTAACCTAATGTCTCTACAACTTTAATTAAATAAGTATTCAAAACGATAAAAAAACAGACTGTAAATAATGGAAGAATAAAAGGAATAAATTAATTTATAAAGGACATTAAACTCTATTTACAAAAGAAAGAAGAAAAAAACTCTATTTACAAAAGAAAGAGAATGAGCAATTTCATTAGCTGACTTCAAGCTGGCATAAATAAAAGTTAGTTTTATCTTCGTTTTTGGGGGGCTGGGGGGCAGATGATATCTGACAAATATCACTTGCTGTTACCAATATTATCCCACACACTTTCCTTTACCGTTTTGTATCTTTTGTAAGCAATTTTATTTTACGCTGGTCGTTTGTAATGTTAATTTTTTCATCGTTTTGCAAAAATCTAATGAAAAAGTTTTTAAATAGGTCCCGGTTAATCTGCAACGTAGGTAACAGCCTCCGGTTTAATAGCATTATCTACATAATATCTTCATTTTTTATCAAAATCTTTCTAAATAAATATCCATTTGTTCACATTCTATGGATCATTCAGTTTCAAAGTTGACTTACTCTTCCATGATAAGTCTATAATTCTTGAAAAACAAGACAGGCATTCATATGCAGCTTTTAGGCGTTGCCTTCAAAATAGGCAAGAAGCT